TGCGCCGCCCGCAACACTGAAAATTCGACCGCATCCCTATGTTGAATTAAAACACGGTATACTATGTTGTATGACGGAGTTGGATCACAATAGTGAAAATATAATCAAACAATGCGAAATATTTAACACCGTTTTGTTCTTTTTCACTTTATTGTTTGCCAATTTTTCCACTCGTATTTCTTTCCATTTCGAACCAACCTATTCTATAAATTTGAACGCCTTTGCCAAATATAAACTTGATATTCGACCTAGTTACGATAATACGACATAATGACTGATGATTAAATCAGATATGATTTACGATTAAATTCTAGCGAACTTTAATAAGCAGTTAATAAGTATTATTTAACAGGCCCCGAGGCCTATTTGGAACACTATTTTGATTGTATCATACCTTTTACTTAAGAATATCCAGACTTATTGATAAAAGTCAATTTTTCGACCTTGAAAATGCAACTGGCATTATATTTAAGGTACTTTCAATAAGTAAATAACAGAAGATACTTTATATGTACATAATTGGCCGGCGGCGAGGGTTTTGACAAAAAGTTATTTTTTGTTGTTTTTAAAACTATCCATGTCGCCGTGTCGCTTTTGTGAATAGCATTAGGGTCAATATTATGCGAAAAACGAGCACTCCACTTAACGAGGGTACTGGTAATTCATCAACCGCCCAGAGCTTAGTATTTTTGTTTTGAATTTAATAAAAGGAAAATTTTATGAAAACTGTACAATGCATTCAAAATAGGCACTACTATAATATTATTTTGATGCAGTTTTATGGTTTTAAGGAGGCCAAACACGGACAGGTATTTAAACGTTGTATTTTTACAAGCAATATAATTATAAACATTTTTCTAAGGCCCGCCTTTAAACTTGGTTGTAATTATACGCACGGCTATAAATGAGCATATACTCTTTCTTTATATTGAAAAAACGCTTTTTTCTCTTGTGCCAACACTACAGCCGCGATCCCCTAGCCTTCGCCCACCGACCGGAAATGAAATTTGTAATTCAAATTATGATTAACGTGGAGGTCTATAAACGCAAACATTCATAACAAGCCTTAAAGCGACATTTGTCGCTCCAAGTAAAATGCAGTTTTTTTTTTATATATATGCCTAGTTTTTCGAAGAGTTATTACTCATAACCGCAATAGTTTTCTATCGAGATTCAAAAGATTTAATATATTATGTACAATAATCAATAGTCTGTTAATTTAGATTATGATTAAATTGCAATATTGTATGATATAATTGCACATGTATGTGTGTTTGTCTTTTCAATTGTCATCGGCATGCGTGCAGCGATGGCAGTAATATACAACCTCCAGGCTCGCGCATTATAATAAGTCCTCTATATATGCATATTATTAACGTATACTGTGCCCATCTCACTTGCTCTCACTGCAGTCTTCATGTGCGCATAATGTTCACGAAGAGGTAATTGTAATTCGAGGGTAATAAATTTTTGACTGGGTACGATAAATCAAAACTGTCGTGGTGACTCGTTCACCTATAGACCACCTCGGAACACTTGGGTCTCGTCATCTAACGATCACAGTTATTTCAATAATAATGTTTTTATAAAGTTGACATCGTTTAAATTCAATAAATACCGTTCACAATATCATATGTTTTTAAATAATTATTTTTAAGATTTTACGTTAAATTAATAGATTCTCAGTACTGAGAAAATAAAAATAATAATACATATGTGGCTTATTAAGTCATTAAATAACATCATTTAGAACAACTCTTATTATTATACAAACTGATTCCTTAAATTGGTAAACAGTAAATTATTTGTTGTGTAAAATAACTATATATGACGATAAATATTTTTTCCCTATTTTTTTTTTTTGGTCACAAGTTTGTTTTTTAATTTAATTTAATTTGTAAATAGTTAAATTGTTTGAAGCTATTAGTTGCTATTGATTAGAAGCTATTTATTTTATTAGCTGTTTTTAATTTTGTCATTTTATTTATTTTATAACTCGTTTCAATACTAATAAATTATGTTTCATAATTAATTACCAATAGAAAGAAACTGATTAATGATATTCATTAATGAGTATCGCGCCAGCTGGATATTTTAGTATTTGATTTGTGTATAAAAGATATTTTTATGTTTAATATATATTAACAATTGTATTTACAAAAAAAAAATAAAATATTTTTTGACTTTAAAAGTAAATTTATATTTGATTGGGGGGTTATTAGAGAAAGCTGAATAGTTTTTTAATATATGATTTATTATTATTCTGTCAATATTTCACGTGACTCTGATTAGCTAACTGGTTTTACGTATTTGTATAAAATAGTTACACCGTATAGATGAAAAACGCATACAGTGACAAATATGTTAACTATCAAAGTATTTTAATATATTATAACGCCAAAAATATATAATCAAATATGCATGAAGTTCATTGTACTTATTTATCAACTGAAATTAAATGAAATACGCATATATTGTATGGAGCTACCTGCAACGTGTTTTTACTTCTAATATATAATTTATGTCAGCGGTTATATGTTAAAAAAAATACTTTTTTAAGATGTATGAATTTTTACTATCTAAATAGCTATTAATAAAACAAAAGGCAAAACTATAAATTTAAAGTTAATAAATATGGATAAAATGATTTTTACCAGTTTAATTATGCATTATACATAATTACATAATTAAAATTATAAATAGTTTAAGATGGTCTTCGATTAAATCAAAAGATGCTCAAGTGGTCTATTAGCTGATAATTTATTGTATCATTAGGTATTGTGGGTACTTGAAGTGTACCCTTCTGTCAATGTTATCACTTTTTTAATTTTTCCTTATTCCAAAAATTGTCGTTTTTATATATTATTGGCACATTTGCCGAAGAGTTAACATAAGTGCAGCATAACTGATTGCAATCTAAGCCAACCAAGAAAATAAATCACATTGAATGCAATGTTGAGAGAATTGGATAGGATCGTAGTTTTGATCGGTACGGACGAGGCCTGAACGCAGAAGTGTTTCGACCAGTTGTAAACGAGGTTTTGGGGTTTCCGGTGATGACATCTAGCGGACTTAATAGGAGTCAACAAAAATTGATAAAGCAGTGTAGATGCCGCCACTTGCAAGTGACAGTAGGTTGATTGCGTACAGTAGTCGACGAAAGAGAATGGGAAGAGAAATGAACGATAACGCGACGGTGTTTTTATTTCATTCGAATGGGTGTACTTAAGTACCCATACCTAAGACAAGAAGACTCCGACAAATGGCTCGTTTTACACTGTGCCGTAATAAAATAGTTCAAGGAACGCGCCGAGACGGTTTGATTACTATTTTTATTTCCTACGCACCGTAAACATTTACTTGGGGTTACCGTGTATGAATGACAATACCGGTCCGTGAATACAATACGGCGCTTTGAGTAGGCAACAGTATGAACGCCGTGTTCATGACCTCGCGCTCATTTACATTCAAACGATTTGTTTATGAAATAAATATACAAACCGACTAGAATACTGTTAGCGGCTGTCAGTTGGTAGTCGACGATTAGTGTACAACACAACGTTCGATTTTAATTATAATTTTATAACTGATTATAAATTACACACATTTTTAACTCCTTTCTATCTATCACGAATATCTGACTTATATTATTTCGTTTTACCGTACTTAATAATACTGATATTATAACAACGTTAGATTAATAGAAGTTATAAGCGCTGAGTTTCTAATTAAAAAATAACAATGTTATCGGCTATTATTATTATTCCTACAGTGATGATCCGATCAAATAGCTATTTTTATACACTTATAGTTTATACTTCTAACCAGTTTAGAGCAGATAAAAAATTTTCGATTACTCATAATTAGTATTCATTCATTGACTCATTTAGTTGATGCATTTACACTAGCCGCACACATCTCCTGAGCCATGTTGTCTTATATAAAATAACAGACAATTATACGATTTTAAAAAGCTTATTCTATGCTCTCCATAAAATGTACATAAATGTATGCTAATTAAATATCCTAAATGTAAATTTGTAACGACTGATATATTACTATTGTTGAAAGAATTATTAATTTGTAGTTTTTAGTGAAAGCCATTTATCTAATTGAATACTTTAAGAGACGTGCGAGTGTGCCTAGAAAGTAATTCATTTTATCTTATTAAATATGACTACATCGTTTAGTGCGATGTCTGGTAAAAATAACTTGTGTTTAATATGTAGAATAGGTACACTTAATCATGACCATTTATTTTTATTGCTCATTTACACGTCGTAAACCATTTGAGAGACCGTAGGGGTGTCTGTTATTGTCAAAATAATGGCATTTTAATAATCCCTATATTAATTTCACCTTTTATACGTAGATTCGAAACTCTCAAACGGTAGGGTAAATTTTATTGTCTTGGCGGACACGCAATAAAATACGGTTTACAAACCATAAACCTGATTTTATAGATGTGTGTGTGTGTGTATAGTGTACAGATACGCGCTCACGCTTATAAGACATTCGTGGGGTATAAAGAATAAACATCTTTCAGACAATTATATTGGCTCTTAAATGAGAGTAAAAAATACCAGGGGAGGAGTGAGACGGAGGATGCCATCATGATAAAACCGGCCATAAATCAAAATGGCCTCAGCCATCTGGCGCAGTGGCACGGAGAAGATCCCCGGCTGCGCGATTGCTTCTACACGTTCCATCATGGCCGAAATGCACACCATCAACATAGTCCTTTTTTTAGAAAACGCAAAAAACGCATTTTATTTCTGTGTTCGTAAACAGAATTTGCCTGGATATTTACGTCGTGTACTTTTTGTAGAAACCCTAATAGATGGACTCGTGTCCATTTCTATCTCATTGATAGTAATCTTACATATTATGTAACATTAACGAGTTAAAAAATAATTGTTTTTTGTCTGAAATTTCATATGTAATTGTTATTTTTTTTCGTCCCTTTTCAAATTTAAATAAAAAGTATAAGAGTGATTTCCAAGTAGTTTATTGCGCCAGTTCCAATTGCAAATTAAGACATTTTTATTACGCTAATACAAAATCGGTATTTCATGCTCCGTTAATACACTCGATGATACTTCATTATGTTGAACGGGTTGTGTGTATTCAGTGCACTGATCTGTTGTTCCAACAGTAGAGAAATATTGCTTTGTTATAATGTATGCATTGTTATCTTATGGTACACTTATAAAAACCGTAGAAAAAGAGAAACGTGTCAGTACATAACTCTGTCATCAGCCGGGATCTCTAAAACATTCATGTTAAAAGTTTACATTATTTTGATTTAGATTTTTATCTTAGAGCTAATTCATACTATACTCGACATCCTAAAACCATAATGTATTTGAATGATGGTCGGTTAACTTCTCATCTAATAAATTTTTTTTCTGCTTCAGCAATTGGATTTCAACATGCCTATAAACAATTCGAAATTGTTTTAAAATGAACGAATATCATTTTTTTTTAAAGGTATTATGCAATTTGCTTTTCATAATTAATTGTACATCCTGGAAATTCATTACTAGGTATAGTGTATATTAATTTGTAGCGTTGTTAATTAATTTTTGTTGTTGATTATGTTTTTTCTAAGACTAATTATCATTCAAGCTATTTGTTAAAACCTTCAAAGTCAATTGAATTTATGTACTGTTCTATGTACTTGTTATAATTGTTTATGTCATTAACGAACATTTTGACAGCGAACTCAACAGTATGATGAATTTTGATTAGGTATTACTGTTGGTAAAAAACTTTAGTAAGAATCCTGTCATGGTCAATGATATTCATACAAGAAATTAAAAATTACGAATATTATTTTTGTTAATTTTATACATTTTTAATTACATAGCTACGAATTATAATTAATAATCTTGGCAACATAATACAAATAGAAGTACAAAAACGCGTGGTTGAATTAAAAAACGGCGGATGTAAGATATTCGGCAGTGCCACGCGTTTGTTTGTTATTTAATATTCCGGTCGCGTGAAATATATTTACATGCATGTTTGACGATGTTGGTTCTAAATTTATAAACACTATTTTGCTACTTCTATTAACGATACTTAAAAAATCATAAAGATAGGGATAGAGCGAATCGTAATTAAAAAAATTGTTTGACCGAGATGACAACTTGAAAGTAAAATTATGTCGTTAGAATATCAGTTCAAAAGATATAAAAAATAATTTGTTACGAGTCTACTTAATGTAATTTATGGCGGGTTTTATGGAGGTTCGGGATGATTACAAGCGTCTTCCTGTCTCCCACTTCATTTGGCGTAGCAGCTATCGTTGCCATTAGATCCCACCAGGAGAATAAGCTTCTTCTTCCGTAACTAAAATTGAAAAATTGAGGGTAATCATGTCATAAATAACTTCCCGGTTATAAGATCTGGATGCCATACGTTCCCTCATTTCACCGTCACCTACCTATCTATGCGACTATCCAGCAAACAAAGAAGTTTCATAACTTTCGTTGGCCCCATACGATTATCTCTCCCGCTCTACGTGGCAGAGTGAATACTCTAAGAGTTTTAACATCGCACACGATCCGTGTATAGGTGTTCAAACGAGGATTGAATACTGATACACGCGTGTACATTTATAAAGCAAGCGGTATTCGTATAACAGAGCTGGATAGAGAGCCAGAATTCTGGATCACATAAACCACAGTCTTAACACGTATTTTGGATTAGACCGTTTTTCTGTAAATCCCAACATTCATATCAGTCTCATCCATCAAGAATATCGCTATAATTTGTCTTGCAGAGTGCATGTATTAAGCCGTCAAGTGATTGATGCCAAGTAGATTCATATGCGCAGTATATATAACATAAAAAAATGTCATCAATATTTAATGCTTAATTTTAACTGTAGATACTAAAATGAGTGTCTTAAGAGATTGCGTTTCTCTGCATTGAGATCGGGTTGTTTGATTTTGAAAAGTTTTTCCGCCAGTAAAACAGTGCGTACTAATGCAGAGCTTTCGGAAACAGAAGCTGCATTTGATTTTTAACAGAGGTCGTAAACACCATGGACACTCGGAAAAGTGATAATAATAAATTATAATAAATAATATAATACGCACGTGGGCACTACGATTACCTCACGTATCACAATGCGGGGAATAATTTAAGCAGTAAAATATTCTTTAGCCCCGCACAGTTTGACTTGTGCATACGTTTCGGTCGCGTTTATTATGAACGTATGCGTTTCCACTGGCAATACATTATAATCGTTGTCACGTCGTCTAGTGATTTACTGCGGCCAACACATATATGTACCTACGTTGTGTATACGACATTTTTAATAATAAAATAAAAAAACCAAAACCTGACAGTGTTGGGTACTGCAGCGAAGTAGAAGACTGAGAGAGAACGACGACACAAACCCGATCTCACTTCGTACCCGCGATCCCGCCCATTCCGCCTATACAAATTTTTCATTCCGCTGCAGCCGACATTAGTCTTTATTTTTATCGTATAAATACATCTACGGCGGCACAGGCGAACAGGCAACGTGTCGGAGTTGCCGGGTCTCCAAGGTTACTTGTATATACACACACACACAAACAGCCATAATTATTCATTTGCTTAGGATACGCGGTGAAGTTGTGAGAAAACTGTTTTCCCCTGATGAACCACTTCAGAAACGTTGAAGAGGTCAGAAACTTCACAACAACATTGTCAAGCTCCAATCAAATATGCTGACGCCGACAATATCTGTTTATTGTTTAATCGAGTAAAAAAATATTCTCAAGACATGTTTATTAGTAAAAGTATTTTGAAAACAATGAAACTATTTATATTTGAATGATAGCAAAAAGAATAATTTTACTTTCGACAATTTATATTTATTTTTTTAAGTTATTCGAATTGATTTTTTTTTTCTTTTTTTTTGATCAAGCAAATCTTAATAAAAATGTATTCTTCATATTTTCCGATTAGTTATTAAAACCGGTCGAATTTGACATCCAAATGATTTACCTCAGAGCACTAGATATCTTACAACTACAGTATAAGCAGGCTAAGCAAAACTTAAGTCCATAAAAACTATCGACGTTAAGATATACTTTAAAAACCTCGTTTAGTTTTTGTAAAAATACTCAAAATAATAGAACCGATTATTATGGTTTACTTGCGTTTTCAATTATTGGTTGCTAGTATGTAATCAGATGTATAATATGCCCTATTTAAATTTAATGATAGGCGGCTCGGGGCGCTTAATTATTATTTTTAAGTCGTGCACGTTTAAACGGAAAAAAATCGACCACGAGAAGTCTAAACTAAAACGTGCTTTTTACACGTTTCATCTTCCATTGTAATGGTCTGTGGTTATGCAATAAAAAACATTGGTAAATTAGTACACTCGTATATTACCACACACGTATAACGATTTAAGTTTAATCAGTTAACAATTTTACTACGATTTTTGAGGAACACTTACAAGCATGTTTTAACAAATATATAAGCTAATATTTTACAAAAAAATAATTGAACTTAAAATAGCCATCTCAAGTTTGATAATATTCAATTTGTTATACGTTTAGTGTGCTCTTGAGAAATTATCACAAACCTAACTGAACTCTAAAGGGGTTCAAGTATATAATAGCATAATATGAGATCGATGTCTAAGACAATAAAGTAGGGTTGAGAAATTTGATTATGGTCGCCTGAAACGAAGGGTGTGACGGTTTTGGTCCAGACAGTCATGGCGATGGGAACTTGTGATCGGTCGGTTTTTGTATGTACGGAATTCCTGCGAGATTAAGGTTGTTCATCAAGGAAAAGGCCAATGCGAATAATGTAATGTAATTGCACGGCGTTATTAAAAGCGGTAACTCAACCGGACGACTAGGGGTCAAAAAGAGGAAGTGTCTTGTGTGCCAGGAATTTGGCCTATCGTAAATCTAAATGGCAACTACGACGTAGTCGCAGCTTTCAAGATGAATGTATTCGAAAAACCAAAACGCCTTAATATGCACATGCATGTGAGCTCCCCCAAAACTTTCGAGGTCTATTAGCTAAATTAAATTTGCCCTTAAATTTATAACACCTTTAAGCCTTTTGTTTCTGTTAATACACATTGGTATTAAATCATAGCCATTGTATGCCCACATGTAGTAATGTACCATATATCCGCCAGTAACTAAATTAAAATCGCCATTAACTTGATTAATAGTCAGATTAACGTTCTTAATTAATGGTAATTAAATATTAGATCAAGAATTCTTGGTGACATTTAATCAATCGGTCACTGAATGAAGTATTTTTTAAAGAATTTCATCGAATTAAAATCAAACTCAGTTGTTATGGGTAGTTTGCATATTGGTACCTCGTGGTATAAATCGTGACGACAATGCGGGTGGTTCACTTAATCATATGATACCTATATTTATTTTGTTAATAGGCTGAATGTGTTTCATTTCGTGTAATCTTTGGTACTGTTTTATGCGTACTATCGCTCAACTCGTTCACAAACGGTCACGTCTACACCGGTGGGCAACTGTTGTAGGTCCATACTTAGCTTTTATTTTATTTCAGCGGTTTCATTATACGGGATGGTCAAACGTACACTTTTGACATTCTAAGATTATTGTTTCCGATTTCCACACTAATTATGATTATAGCACAGCGCCGGCCACTATTATTACCGGTTTTGATTTCGACTAAGACCGTCTTTGTATCTGTACACGCTAAACGTATTTGCGCCAACGTGATATACCAAAGTAAATCGAAGGTGGTGTCAAGTATAACCATAACTTACGAGGTATGTTTAGACAGTCCACCTTGAAAGCATACCACGATTTCCCACAAGCTGACAGTTCGATAAGAAGTTTTTCAACAGTAAGTGAATTATACAGGCATATTTTCGATCGTGTCAGTGTTTTAATGAAACGTTATCGAAAAAACGCAGACGCGATACCTATCACCTAATTAATACCTTCAGGGTGGCTGTTTTTTACTCGTGCACTTTTAACGTTGCACTGTTATTACGCTTTAAAATATAAGTAAAATATCGAAACAAATAAATAGATAAATTAAAATTCCAACTCAATTCATCAAACGCGTAGATATTCATAATAATTATTCCAGTTGGTAGATTTGATTTTAGACTCCATTGGCCGACATATTTATTCACTATTAGTATTGCATGCTATAAAAAGTATTTTAAGTATGGAGTGGCTCACGTTTAATTGTAGATCCACCGATTTAAAGAACTCAAACTGTTTAATAGATTAAATAGGATATTTTTAATGCGTTAAACGACGGGTTAATGACTACACGGTCGGCTACGAATAATATTTATGTGCGTCCTATAAATCATATGCGAATGTATACAAATCTAGTTACACGCCTTTAAGTTATAAGGAGCTTCCTTAGACTTCATACTGTTACATAGTAATGTACATGGTTAT